TCTGTGGGATGTACAGCATAGTCAGTTGGAGATATGAGGCTGAAAGTCTCCTGAGTGGCTGGAGCTGGAAAAATAGATCTGGGGCTCAGGGGTAACTGAACTCTTGGAAACTAATGAGATCATCAGTGAAATAGTATATGTGGAGATGCCAGCCTCACTTTAAAGTGGACACAGGCCAACCCCCTCTCTGATGCTCTCGTTTCTCTAGCCCTGGTTCCATCACCTACTAGCTGTGTGTCATTTAGCTTCCCTGGCACTTGGTTTCCTCATTGGTCAAAGAAGAGATGTTGGACTACATAGGCCTTCTAGATCTACATTTATGATCCTAATGATTATTATAGTTGACAGGTTTAAAGAGTTTTGTATACCTTATCTGATTTGACATCAACAGTTCTATAAGATAATTTCTATAGATGGTATCCCTGTTTTACAGATGAGAAAACCGAAGCCAAGAAGTATATAATTTATTGGGGGTAACAGAAGAACTAGGGCTACAACTCAAGTGTCTCAGCCAGTTCATTTTCTACTATTACAAACTATGTCATTTTTAAGATTTCTGTAAAGAAACAGCATTAAAAAGATTTTTTATAGAGAGGTATTGAAAATTAAGTTTCTTGTTAAATATTTTGAGCTTGTGTCTGTAGAAATATTGGGAATAGAACTAAAGTCAATTCACACCCCTTTTTGATCCATCCATACTTGGAAATGAAACAGATACTCTGAGGACCTGTGACTTCTAATTCAACCATATACATTGTATTAATCTAATAATCTAATACATTGTATTAGAAGGTAAGTGCCATTCATGTAGGGACTCCTTTTTTGTTGTTTATTCATTTGTCTTTATGCCTAGAGTATTGCTTTCCCTGTAGTAGACTCTTACTAGATGCTTCTTGAATTGAATTGTGTTCATAAAGTTATGAATTGACACTGGCATGTAAACTTCATTAGCTCCAACATGTCAAAGAAAAACTATTAATCCTGTATTCTGCATTGAAGGCACTCTGCCAGAAACAATTAAAACATTAACATTAATCTAATAACCCAAGCATTTTAACTTGGAGAGAGTGTTATGATCAAACCAGGACAGTCCGCCAGGCCGTCAGACATGTCCTTTACCAAGAGAAATTGAGGCAATACTTACGGGAATATTGAACAAAGAAAAGATTAAAATATATTAAAATAACATACTTAGGTTAACATTCCAAAACAGTTGTCACTCTTCAGTTCCTTCCTTGACCATTCTCCTCAAGGATTGCTAGGGCTTCCTCTCAAGAGTCAATGAATCCTTTCTGAATGGAGAAGTGTTGGTGGTAACCCCATACTTTCTGGATTTGTAGAAAGAGTATACTGCCCTTAGATGATTTAATAGCTCAGTCTCTTCAAGAGGTAAGTGAAGTCAGTATGCATAACTGGACTAGAGGTACTCTTTGTTCTAAGTTTGGCTACCATCCTTAATCCATTTGCCCAAGCAAGGCCTTTTGTCCTTATTTTAACCCGCCTAAAGAGAAAAATCTATAAAAGATTTTTAGATCAGAGAAACTATTATTTCTTAATATTTCTAGGGAAACTAAAATGGAGTGTTTTTTTTTAATATGCTTACATAAATATAAACCTCAAAAAGTCTTAACTGACATTGTCGCTAGCCTTTCCAGAGTGAGGTGGTAGTCATACTTGGCTTCTTTAATTTGACCTGTTACTGAAATGGATTAAAATAACTTCTCACATTCATATAAGATTTTAAGACAAAGTATTTTCCATAGAGCAGCCCTGTGAATTAGAGAGTTCAGGTATTATGATCTCCATTTTTCAGATGAGGAAACTGAGCCATAGAGACTTAAGTGGTTTGCTATAGGTCAGTCACATCACTAGTAGGTGAATTTTTAAAGCTGATATGCAAATACAATGCAAAAACCATGGTAGAAGTAGATGAATTAAATAAATAAATGTTAAATAAGTGCGGTTCTAAGATGGCAAGCAATGAGTACTTAGGGTTATTTCATGAATTAAGTTCTATAACCTCTTCCAGTTTGCCAAGGAAAGCAAGCTTCATCAAGGGATTATAACTTCAGTGTCTGTTGAAATGAAATAAGGGAAAACATTGGCCAAATGGCAGAATGCAGGAGGGTAAAAGGAAAAGGGTGTTTTGCCAGGCATCAGAGTTTGGTTTGGTGAGGATTTCAGTGGTGGAAGTGGTTAGGATCAGACTGAAGCATCTAGAGCAGAAAGGGGAAGGACATGATGAAGAAGGGGAACTCTGTGGCATTTGCAAGCAACAGAATCGGGTAACACAGAGCTCTAGCCTTGGGTTGGCTCAGCCTGGCCCTTTTGCTTCTGCTGAACCTGTTACTCTCTGAAGATCTGAAAAGGTCTTTGAAGATCTTAAGATAAACAGTTCTGGGATATGGGTAGCGGAGGTGGCAGTTTAGGACTGGCTGACTTCACGGGGTGAGATGCCTGTGACATCACATGTGACAGCACTGAGGACACAGACAAAAATGAAAGCTTCTGCCCTCACTCAAGGAGTTTAGACAAAATAACTCTATACAAAATAAATATAAGGAAGAATTTGAGGGGAGCTTGGGGAGGGGCGGGGCAGGCCAGCAGAGTGTAGTAGTGGCTGGGATAGATAAAGAAGGGCAAGATGCTGTGTGCCATGATAAAATCAGCTTTTGTAAACTGCAGTGATGATGACTGTGAACTGCCCGCCCCCCTCCCCCAAATCAGGAGCAATCTTTCTCCTCAGACTTCATCTAACAGGTTGTTTCTCTAATGCATTTATTGCCAGCAGCTTGGCCTAGTGGATAGAAGGTCCTAACTTTAGTCCGGACTCAGATACATACTTGCTGTGTGACCTTGGGCAAGTCACTTAACCCTTCATTGACTCCAGGCACCTGCTGTACAAGGCCAAGACTTTACCTGTGGTCCCTGAATTTGTTTTTCACAATAGGAGTTCTTGTATACTAAAGAAATAACAGCTGTGTAAACAAACAAACAAGATACTTACATGCAATATATATGTAATGGTTGTCTGGGTCTGTATGTTATCTTCTTAGCAGATTGAGTATCTTGTAGAGAAGGGATTGTGTCTTGTCTGAACTTAGGATTTGCTGCAGTGGGGCAGCTATGTGTCACAGTGGATAGAGTGCAGGGCCTGGAGTCAGGAAGACTCATATTCCTGAGTTCAAATCTGGCCTGAGACACTTATTAGCTGTGTGACCCTGGACAAGTCACTTAACCCTGTTTGCCTTAGTTTCTTCATCTATAAAATGAGCTGGACAAGGCATGGCAAACTGCTCCATTATCTTTGCCAAGAAAACCCCAACTGAGATCATGAAAAGTCACATAAGACTAAAAGGAGTGAACAACAGAAGTTTGCTCCAGTGCCCTCTCTACACGTAGCAAATGCTTAATAAATTTGTAATGGATGACCTATTATTGTAGTCTTTTTTTTTAAGTATTCATTCTCTTATTTTTGAATCATTTTAATCCTACAATTTATTCAGTAGAACACCAAATATTTACTGAATTCCTATTAGGTGCCAGGTTTAGGTTTAGGTGAACAATCTGCTGCCATGCAATTGACTTCTATGAGTTACTATTTTTCAAGGCTTAAGCACATATTTTGATAATGTTTTCCCTCTCCCTGGCCCTTTCTGTGATATTGTCACTGATATAAGAGGATGTTTCTTGAAACTGTTAAAATGTAGCTGTGACTTCTGTCTTATTTCTGCCATGTGGGTCGGTGGTGACTAGTCCCTGGTGTGTCCCCATCTCTGCCCTGATTTCTGTATTGTAGGGCCATGACATCAGGCCGTGGAACCACAATCTGTGAGCCGGCTGTAGACTGACCATAAAGAGGCATTGTTAGAGAGGAAAAAACAAACAAGCCAGTCATATTCAGAGTACTTGTTTCTTATTGAAGGGTACTCATGCCCTTGCCTGCCACATTTCTGAGTGTGGAGAGGGTCTTGTCATTTTGCATGGAAATGCTTAGCCAGAGTAAGTGACTTAGTTAACTTTATAACCTTACCTCGTTTCTGTGCAGAGAGATACAGTATAAGTATGCCTCGTTTTACATAACAAAATGATTCCTTTTGTAAATATGATCTGTATAAATTAATTCACATTTTAAATGTACTAAGGAAACTTGCTGTTGAAGGAATTATATAGGGGAAAAAAAGGATTATTACCCCAACTTTACAGATGAGGAAACTGAGATTCATAAACGGTTGAGTGATTTGCCTGAAGGTCACACAGCTATTTAAATATCCCAAGTGGGCTTTGAACTTAAGTCTTGGTGACTCCTAGAGCAGCACTCTGTCCATTGTGTAATGCTTCCTGTCTTAACAGGATATCTTTCTGTCATTTACTATAATTCTTTCCAAGAATCTGTAGCTTATATCTCTCTCAAGTTCCCATTCCTGTAAGTGTATTTACCTTCCAGTTTGGTTTTCTTGTTTTTCATTCCTAACCATTAAGGTAACTCCTTGTGTTCATTGATCGAAGGTCAAATGTTATTCTCACACTTTTGATCAGTTCTTTTTTGTCAGAAACTATTACATCTTACACAACTTTGCCTTAAATTGGCATCTCAGCTTTCTGGATCATAAAGTTGTCCTCTGTTTTACTTAGGTGACACTTTGATGTTCTGTGTAGGTCATCTTTGAAAAAACTCAGATGTGATGTTGAAATTCCCTTTGATGATGATCTCTTTCCATTTTGTGAGACAAGTAGATTTGAACATGTCCTACTCCATATAGTTTGGCACTTTGCGCAAGTGGTGTAACACTTCTGAACCTCAGTTTCCACCCCTTTAAAATAATGTCTACCCCTACCCCATTTAATAAGATTGTTGTATTCATGTATTTATAAACACTTTAAAAACCATGAAACATTCCACACAAATTTATAATTGTTTTCTTAATACTAGTTAATATGCCTGAAATGTTTCTCCCCATTTTGTTCTTGATTGTGCTTAAATATTTTTTTTTTCCCAGATTAATACTGAAGAACATGTGGATGCAGCTGACCAGGAAGTTATCTTGTGGGATCACAATATCCCTGAAGATATCTTGAGGGAGATAACCAAACCTAAAGAGGTCCCAGCAGAAAGCGTAACTGTCTGGATTGATCCACTTGATGCTACGCAGGAATATACAGGTGATTTCGGATTAGCTGACATTATAGAATGGAAAGTTAAAAGAACAAGTCACGTTTGGTGATCGAGTGTCAGTCTAAGAGGAAACTTTTTTTGCAGTGAAACTCACAGAACAAGTTACTGAATGCAGTATAGCATGATGAAGGAGTTAGAATAGATTAACTCTGGGGCCTTCTCCAGGTTTAAAATCTTGTGATCCTAATGTCTCATAACCTGCAGCTTTTAAAAATAACACTGTATTTGTTAGGAGAAAAAGTCAGCCTTTATTTTCTCTGATTAAATTGTATTGTACTTAAATGTCTTGAGCGAAGCAGTGATGTTATTTTCTGTCCAAAGAGACAGCTGACTGATATTTATGTCATATTTATGCTGTGGTACAGGGTACAGTTGAAAGGAGGCAGCCATATGGCATAGTGGATAGAGCACTGGACCTGGAGTCAGGAAGATCTGAGTTCTAATTTGGCCTCAGACATTGACTAGCTCTGTGACCCTGGGTAGGTCACTTATTCCTGTTTGGCTCAGTTTCCTCATCTGTAAAATGAACTGGAGAATGGCGAACTACTCCATTATCTTTGCTAAGAAAACCCCAAAATGGGGTCATGAAGAGTTGGAAATGATTGAACAGCAACAACAAAAAGAATGAGTAAATTTCAAATCATGCAATTTTAAGATGAGAATTGACCTTAGGGTAAACTAATCGAACCTCATTACTTTCTAAATGAAGAAATGGTTATCCTGGTTGGATAAATGATTTGCCTGTGCTCATACATCTATTTAGTGACTGAGCCAAGACTAGAATCTAGCCAACATCTAGCTAGAATCTTTTCACTACTACTACTTTTTCTTTCTTTCATGTTGGAGGCAATCAGGGTTAAGTGACTTGCCCAGGGTCACACAGCTAATAAGTGTCTGAGGCTGGATTTGAATTCAGATCCTCTTTAATGCAGGGCCTGGTGCTCTATCCACTGTGCCACCTAGCTGCCTGTACTTCCTTTTTCAACAACATATTGCCTTCTGAGATGGTTTAATCACTTAATCTTTAAATAGGTTTAGATTTATAGATAAAACTGACCCAAGCATTGAATCTTTTAATAAATGAAAGGATTATTCTCTAACCTTTCATGGTCAAAATCCATTCTCTAATGTTAATCCTTTCCCTAAGAAAAATGATTTAGTTATTTCTGGGACCTAGATTCACAAACACTGAGCTGGAGGAAACCTTACAGGTTGTCTAATGCAACCTGAATCAGAACTGGATTCTCCTTCAGAACATCCATAATAAGTAGCCCTTTTGTTCGTGCTTGAAGGCTTGACGTGACAGGGAACTCACTACTTTTGAAAGCAGCTCCTTACATTTTTAGGCAGCCTTAATTATTCTGAAGTTTTGCCTTCTTCTGGTACCTTGTGAGACATTTGAATGTTTTTCTGTGCCCTGTGATAGAATTCATGCAGGTCTGGTGAGATAGAATGTATTTCATTAATATTTACTAAGTAATTTTTACTTCTTTGTAGGATAATCTTAAGTACAAAACACAACTAAATATATCTTCAGTTGACTAGGACAACTTTTTGATTATGCTCTGTTTTCAGGAAGAAAGAGGCAAATTTGAGGAAAACAAATTATTAGGGATTGACTAAAAATTAGATTCAGCCTAATATCATGGAACTTTTACAACTCCAGTGTATCTAAGACAGTGAGATTTGATATTTAGCATTCACAGTGATGACCCTGATGCCCTGTCCCTGCTGCTCCCTGAGTGACCTTGGGCAAATCACATCCCTTCAGGTTCCTCATCTGTAAAATGGAAGGTTTGATCTCTTAAAGATAATCTCTAAGATCCTTTTTAATTGTAAGGTTGCTGCGTTCCGAGCCATCGAAAAGATTATATTTAATGTGTTAATTTAATGCTATGTTTATTGATATGCTGATTTGTTGTTTTTAATATATTTTGGGCCAGAAGTGTATTGATTATGTTCATCTAAGATTCTAAACAAATTGTTTTTTGGTTTGACACGAAAATTCGATTAAAAGAAATACTCCATTCCCTTATATTTCCTATGAATCCAGAATTTATTTCATGTGCATTCATGACCTTGGAGATTCACAGAATGATTCACAGTGGAAGCTTTGAAAAGCTTGACCTTCCAGGCACTTTGAAAGGCAAGATAGTTGAAATGCAAAAAGAACATATTCATTTGGATAAAGTACATTGGAAATAGACGTTATGTAAGAAATAATCTTCCACAGGAGTGGATTGATGAAAACTAGAATTTACTTTATATTTGCAAGGGGCTCATTCTGTGGTAAGGCTCCATCTATTTTAGGGCAGACTTGCCCCACGAAACCATTTCATATCACTTTTTATTTTGAAAGCTGATCTGGATTCTGGATTTATATTTCGCGACTTTAACCCTGGTATTTTTTTTTTCTATTCCATATAGAGGATCTTCGGAAATACGTCACTACAATGGTGTGTGTAGCTGTCAATGGTAAACCAGTACTGGGAGTAATACATAAGCCATTCTCTGCATATACAGGTACTCTTTTGTCCTGCTGCATTGTTTCATTCTGTTAACCATATCAATGAAGCTGATGTTTGTAGCAGTAAGTTCATACCAAACTTCCACCAAGTGCTCAGTGAATATTGAGCTTCAGACTTAGTTCATTGCTTGAAAGGTCCTATTTTCCAGATTGGGCTGCGACTACTGACAGAGAGGCCAAGAGCATGAGTATGGGTGCCTGAGGATGTATGTGCATTAAACTGAATGTATATCCTGCTATTTCAAAGCCAACTCAGAATTACATTTTAATAGTTTTTATGCCTCTTCTCTCTTCCTTTATCACAAATAATTTACAATTGCCCGTGGTCAATAATGAGCTAGATATATGTAAACAGATTAATACACCCCGAGTTTTACTACATTACTATCTATTTTTCCATTTTCTCTTCTTTTCATTTTTTTTTTAAACTGGATAGGTAATTTCATTGGTGCAGGGGTTGCTACCAGTAAGGAGAATGTCCTTTACTAACGCAGATTTTGCCAATTTGCATTAATTGTGCTGACGTTTATACAACCTTATTGAGGTACCGGGGCATAGAATGGTTAAGTAACTGTGCCCAGGCTCACACAGCCCATCATATGTGCCAGAGTCAGGACTGAATCTAGAACTTCCTGAGTAGGAGGCTACTTGCTTCTATTATATTTATCTCTATCTAGATCCAGGTAGAGATAAAAAGATAGGTTTTGTTGTTTTCTGTCATGTCCAACTCTTCGTGACTCCATTTGGAGTTTTCTTGGCAAAGATACTGGAGTGGTTTGCTGTTTCCTTCTCTAGCTCATTTTATAGACGAGGAACTAAAGGAAACAGGGTTAAGTGACTTGGCCAGAGTCACCCATCAGGTGAGTGTTTGAGGCTGGATTTGAACTTAGGAAAGTCTTCCTGATTGCAAGGGCAGTGCTCTATCCACTGTGTCACCTAGTTGCCCTGGAGAGATAGATAAAGATGTTTCTGTATATGACAGAGTATCCAGTTGACCTGTAGGTACCTAGCTGTATTCTTCCATCATAATATCAACCTTCCTTTTAGGTGGTAATGCATATATTTTGTTCATTATCTCCTACCAATAATGCTGTTGCATAATACAGTTTGCAAGGCACATTTCACATCTCAAATATTCCTCCGAAGAACCCTGTGAGGGTAGAAGGTTCAACATAGGTAGGTTAAATAACTTCTCCAAAGATATAGTGTATTTTAATATGTATAGTCTAGTATGACTAGAATATTCTATTATACTTTTTGTCTCCGCTGTTAAGAATGTAGCTCCTTGGGTATAAACATTGTTTCATTCTTTATTGTTTGTATTTCCATTCCTGGCACCATATAATAGGTGCTTAATAAATATTAATATTTATACCCTCAGTATAGGGTGCTCTCACTTCCCTCTACTGTCTCTCTCTATTATTCTTATGATTCCTCAGAGCTCTGAAAAGTATCATTGTTCTAATTTTTATATAAGGGGAAGCTGAGACATAATGAAGATGAGGCGTGTTTGTACCTTCCCTACATTAAAATATTTTTTTCATAATGACTAAATATTGGGCACATAGGGGACAAATGACAACATAGTTACAGACATCATTATCACTAAAAATTGTTTGAAATTTGGGAATCATGATTGACTTAGTCAGAACTGTTGTGAGTTATGTGCTGTGCACAAGGTCTTACAGATAAAACAAAACTGAAATAACTTGGAGTAATGGAGGAGAAGCCTCATTTGTCTTAACGTAAAAATTGCTTCAAAAAACACAGTTACATTACTTCCAAATACAGTTAGTTATCTTTCCTTTAATGAAATATTTTTTAAGCAAATCTTGGTAAAACAAATGTCATTAATCACATTTTATTGACTTCTTATAAAATCAGATAGTTTTTATTGGGGAAAAACATCTTCTGGGTTTAATAATATACTTTAAAATCAAATGGTAGAGTTGGAAGTCAGATTGCAACAAAATATTGAATTAATTGGTTGAAAGGAAGAAAAGGAAGTGATGCCTTTTTATTTTTTTCTAGGCATTTGGCTGTACAAAGGATAATGTATTGAGGAGATGATGACATAATCAAGTGAAGTTTTTGTTGTGTCTTTGTTTTTTCTTTAGGATGAGAGAGACTTGGGTATGTTTGTAGGCAACAGAGGAGGTAGTAGATAAGGATGCCTTGAAGATGGAGGGACAGAGGGGAGCAATTAATGACATGCCAAGCTCCTGAAGAAATAGTGTTCATCAGCACATGAATAGGAACACAGAAGGCAGATTGTAGGAATAACTCAGAGTTACGGTTTAGGAAGACATGAGTGGCAATCATATAAGGGTTTTAATAAAGGCTTAAGGTTCAGAATCTGCCAAATTCCAGTGAAAGGGAACATAAAGTTCACAATAAGACAGTGAAGCAAACCTTTATCTATGATAGCTACTCACAGAATGCAGGACAGTCAGGGAGAATGATGGAAACACGTCCAATGGGCCCTGTTGGTCCAGTTGAATTGCCTCTCACTAGGGACAGAGAGGCAATGGGGCTCCTCCCTCCAAATCAGTAAAGTTTTCTGAGTTTTTGTAGTGTTTTTATCAGGGTCTGGCAGGACCATGAATTGGGGGAAAGAGCTAAGGAACTTCAACTTCGGAATTAGTGCTGATTCATGATAGTAGGAGGAAGGAACACTCCTATGGACTTGGAGGCTAGCTAATATTCAGATTTCTTTCTGGTCGGAAAAGAGGCTGTTACTGCTGGTCTTTTGACAGAGTGACTCAGCTTTCCTGGTTTGTTTGTTTTTTTTTTTTTCTTTAAAGTTTTCTCAAGGCTTCCTCATTTAATGGTTGGAGGAGGACACTGTATTCCTTACAGTAAAGTGGCAAGAAATTTGAGGGCAGAGATCAGTGTGCAGTCAAACTGGTTAACTATAAGGTGAAGTCTATGGAGGGAGGAGAAGGAGGCTAGAGAAAGGGAGTGATTGATTAGGAGAGTAGGTAATGGTAAGAAGGGTTGCAGTAAAGATAAAGAAGAGGTTCCAGTACAGGGAAGCTCAGGGAGAATTGGCAGGATAGGAGGTTATACTCAGGAATTTCTGAGATCAGGAACACAGTTATGGATAATATGAGATCCAAGATAGAACTACCCAATAAATGAGATGGAGTGAAAAGGCCAGTTGTTGATCAATAAATTGGGAGATCAGAGTGGCCAACATTTGTTGAGGGCTCCACATAAGAGTGCAAAGTGTTTTGTTTCTTTTTTTAATTAATTATTTTTCATTTTCAACATTCACTTTTACAAGATTTTGAATTCTAAATTTTTTCCCCTCCCTCCACTCCCTCCTCCCTAAGATGGCATGTAATCTGATATAAGCCATACATGTATGATCATATTAAACATATTTCCACATTAGTCATGTTGTGAAAGAAGAATCAGAACAAAAGGGAAAAACCACAATAAAGAAAAAAACAAAAAGCAAACAAAAAAAGAGAAAATGATATACTCCGATCTGCATTTAGACTCTATAGTTTTCTCTGGGTGTGGATAGCATTTTCCATCAAGAGTCTTTTGGAATGGTCTTAGATCATTGCATTGCTCAGAAGAGCTAAGTCTATTAGAGTTGATTTTCGCACAGTGTTGCTGTTATTGTGTATAATGTTCTCCTGTTTCTGCCCACTTAACTCAGCACCAGTTCATGTAAGTCTTTGTTGTTCAGCCATTCCCCAACTGATGGGCATCCCCTCAATTTCCAATTCCCTGCCACCACAAAGAGAGCTGCTATAAATATTTTTGTACTTGTGGGTCCTTTTCTCTTTTTTATAAAAATGTAGAGTTTAAAGAAGATGACTGTGAGCCAGGAACTGAAAGGAAGAAAACAAAGTCAGCTTGTAAGCCAATAGGTAACTTGTGACCAAAATCTGGAATAAATGAAGAAATGGAAGGAAGGAAGTACACAGGAGAGGTTGGTGAGGGATCAGGCTGGAAAGGGATGTTCTGAAAGTGACAGGAACAGAAAGCATGTCAGCTTCTCTTGGCCCATCATTTCTGAGGGTATAAGAGTTCTGGAGATGGTGGCTATAACTGTCACTTTAAGGAAAATGGCAACTGTCTGATAAAATGGGAAGTACCATAGTATAGTGGGTAGGAAGCTGACCTTGGAATCAGGAGGATGTGAGCTGAAGTCCCATCTCTGACATGTACTGGCTTATGGGACACTAAGTCAGTAAACATTTATTAAACACCTATGTGCCAGGCCCTGTGCTAAGCACTGGGAAGATAAATATGGGGGGAAAAAGATAGTTTCTTCCCTCAAGAAGCTTGTAATCTAACGGATGGAGACAACACACAGAAGGAAGCTAAAAAGCTGTGTTGGGGGGGCGGTGTTGGAGAGATACCTGGATCAGGGGCATATGGGAGAAATTTAGAGTTGTGCAGCTGGATAGAAAATGAAATGTGGCTGGCCTGGGTGTCCTCCTTATGTGGAGGTTCTGGGAGGAGCTCCTAACTTTGCCCTCCAATCAGAGGGGCAGAGGGTACTGATGAGCTGTGAGGATGAAGGTTAGAAGCATGAAAAGTTCACACGTGTGCAGCCCTTCAAACACTGTCCAAACACTGTCTACTTTCTGCGGAGAACTCACAGATCTATATATCTGGCCCAAGTCTTTCTCTTTAACTCTCCAGACCATTATGACCAACTTACAGGCATCTCAAACTCTTGACCAAAATAGAAATAATTATCTTTTCCCCAAACCAGCGGTGGGGAACCTACAGCCTCGAGGTCACATGTGTCCCTCTAGGTCCTCGAGGTATTGTACTTGAGGACCTAGAGGGACACATGTGGCCTTGAGGCTGCAGGTTCCCCACCCCTGCCCCAAACCATCCCTTCTTAGTGATTTCTGTTCTGAACTTCACAATCTTTCATTCACCTAGGTTCAGAACCTAGGTGTCCTCCTTGACTCTTCACTCTCCCTCACTCCACCTAACCAACCAGTTGCTACATCTTGCAAATTGT